CCAAGAGCCCACAAGACCGTGTCCGGGGGTCGCAGCCAAGCCAGCTCAGTGAGTGGGTTCCCTCTGGCCTCCAGATCTAGAACACTAGAGCTAGGCTGTGCCACGCCCAGGTGCTGGCGGTGGAAGCGCGCACATTCTGAGGCCAAACCGCCCCCAGGACACTCAGAACAACAATTTTTTTTTTCTTTTTGTAAATTGATCGCTGACAGGCCGAGGGAGTTTGTTTTAGTGCTGAATACCCAGGAACAAAATCCTTTTGAAAGGAAAGCTAAGTCGTTTCACGCCACCAAAGTGCAGATTTGGTGAAGAATGACTGATGGGACAAAGCGGCGCGGTGAGTTAGCGCGGGTTCCCAGAGAGCGCGGAGAACTTGGGCAAATGCGGGAGGCGGCCTGCAAGGTGGGGCGGGCCAGAGGAGACCCTGACGCCTAAAATCGATGCGGCGCGCGCCCGAAGACCTTCCCCACCTGCACATTTCACTGCCCATTTGGTAGAGAAGATGGAGAAAGTAGAAGGGAAAGAAAAAATAAAGTGAAGAGAAGTCCGGGACAAGAGGGGAGGAGAGAGAGAGAGACGGGGACGGGATGGGTGGGAGACTCAAGGAGAAGGAGGGAACGGCTCTGAGGGAGGAAGGAGGAAGAGAAGGGGCAGACGAAAGCTCAGTCCCCAAATGCTCCAGGCAGCCCCGGGTTCGCTTTCCAAGTCGGGAAGGCGGGTATTGTTTTTGGCGCCTAGGAAACCTTCGGAAGCTGCCGGGTACTTTCCCTGCACCTCCCATCGGTGTTTGGTAAATATTAACAAACCGGGCGCGTTACTTTCTGGAGTGTGCACGGAGAGGCTGGCCCGGCTCGGGATGGTTTTCCTCTCCTAGAGCCCCCGCCCCCTAACCCCAGCCCCACCGTTCACGCACACATACACCTGCTTGACAACAGAAGGAATCAAAATCAATATTGTATTTGTCACCCCTCTGTCTCCTTTTTACTCCCTCAGCAGCCCGGGTGCCACTGGAGCGAATTGTGGATTTATGGAGGGAAATTAGCATAAATTATTACGAAATCTGTAGCCGTGTGTGGTCCAGCTTGTGGGAAAAGAGGCCATTGCGAACTCTCCAAGCAGAAAGGTGGTCGGTGGTGGGCTCTGCGGAGGCGATGAATGGCTATTGCATGAAAGAGATTTCCATTTGGTTTGCACATGGGTATAATTGACTTATGTGTATTTTATACAGTTTTCCCAACAACTCCCTAAGCCTCAGAGTCGGATGTGCCCCCTCCCCAGAGCCTCTGTTTGCTTTGGGTTCTGTACAATAGACTCTGATGCACTTTTCACGATTTCTGGAAAGTGCTCCTTCCCTCCTCTTCTTCATAATACCAGTCTTAAAACGGTGTAAATGACATGCAAATCCCCTCCCCCTTCCTCTGGGCTCTTCAGTAGGATCTGAAATGCAATTTTGTAGCAAAGTGCCTGTTTTAAATGTGTATTTCACAATTCCTCACCCACCCAGGGCAAACTTGTCCAGTTAGGTTCCATTCCCTTAATTAGCCCTGTGCATGGGCAATATACCTCACCTCCAGTCCTCACTCTAGCCAAACTTTGGAGACTCCTGAAACACGAATTCCTACTTGTATCCTCACATGTCTCTGAGACTTGGTGGTGACAACTTTCCCTGGGGAGATTGACAAAGATTTATTTCAACCTAGATTTTCTTTTTTAACCCAAACGTTTCCACTCTTAGAATTTAGTTAAACTTCTGTTTACTCCAAGCAATGATTTCGACCGCCACACAAAGGCCCTTTGCAGGGCAACAAAATGCCAATTGTTAAAACAAGAAAACATTTCTCTCCCCATCCCCCACCCACAAGAAGCGTAGGCACACACCGGGTAGAAAAGAATCTTCCTGGCTGTCACTGGGGGAACAGAGATCTTTCACTCCTTTCGTTACGTATCCCAATCCAACCACTCTCAATGTTTTTTTTTTATCTATGTTTCTGTGTGTCAGTATGCACACGTTTGCTAAGAAGATCCTAAAAGATCCTTAGGGGCTTCGATGCTGGCACCTTTCCCAGGAGCACTCCTGCCTCCACAGGAGCACCCCCACTTTTGTATCTTGGAGGCCAGCTGCCTTCTGGAGCAGGAAAGCTGTGGACCAACACCTTTCCATCAGGAAAACACAAGCCCTTACTACTATGCTCCATCGGGGTCCCTAGGCTGCAGGTCTCCCCAGTTCTTCCCATCCCTGGACCTTCAAACTGGGCCATGCCCAGTAACACCCCAAAACGACGCACCTCCTTAGGAGCCGAAGCGTGCACAGTTCAGGCAAGTACCGCTGCCTTGTGCCGAAGCTGGGCAGAGTCCACCAGAGTCCAAATGGTTTCTGTGTGGAGGGTTTATCTGCCCTTGTCCAACCGTGCCCCCAGGGACAGGTCAGCGTCCCGCCTCCACCCCTCGAACCCACCTCCTCCTCCTAGTTATTTTTTCCGAATTAAGAAGGTGACATTATTCTTTTCTTCAAGCACTTCTGTTAATATTGAAAAACGTGTGCTTGCATCTCAAGCGAGGCAGCCCAGACACGAGAGCCATTTCAATATTAATGAAATTGTTTAATCTCCTAAATTCATCGTGTTTAAGTTACGTTTTGGTGAGTTATTGACCACCTTTGAAACTGTGGTTAATGGAGGATGTGTGTGTGTGTGTGTGTGTGTGTGTGTGTGTGTGCGTGTGTGTACGTGCACCTAAAGATTTTTATGCTAACCCCAAACAGCTCCACTAATAATGCTCTAATATCACTAAGTGTCCAAACTTCACACCCAGAACTCTCCCCCTACCATCACTACCATCACCTCCTGGGGGAAAAAAGTTCTTACATTTCAGGATTGAAGATGATTCAGTGTGGGCTCTAGGTATTGAGTTTTTAACGAGGTAAAAGATAAAAGGGATTTCTTTTAAAAACCATAAAGGTGAAAGAATGTGCAGAAGCCAGTGGGAACTCCTAGCATCTATTCCTTGACTGGGTGCATGCAGGCAGGGTAGACTCACTATTTCATAGCAATATGATGATGCCGCCAACGCCCACGACAACGACGATGATGATAATAATAATAATGATGATGATGACAATAATTCATTGAATCTCTGGAGACTAATCCGAACAGAAGGGAGCCTACCGCTGGCACCAGGCAGGGGGACCCTAGGCACATCCCCGCTCTCTCCTTTCTCCCAAAAAGGAAAACTCCCTGGTTCTTTTCCAGTCCAGAAGTTACTGCTGTTTTAGTGGGTCCGCAGGCAGCTTTTGCTGGGCTCCCTAAACCCCGAAATACTTTCTATTGGGGGTAGGGAGGGGAAAGGGAGGAGATGGGAGGGGAAGCAGAGGTGGGAGAAGCAGAGAAAAGTTCCGGCCGTAAAATGCAAACTTCCAGGCAATGCCTAACTCCTAAAGTTTCAAACCACATGGGGAAAGCATGAGACTCGGCCCTTCATCTGGTGATAAAGTGTGTCAAACAAACTCAGGCCCTCCGCCAGGTCCACACAGTGTCTGCCCCAACAGCCCCAGAGCCTTCATCCTGTCCCTAATTCAATTCCTAGAGGACTTTTAGAGTGAAGACCCTGACTATTCTCCCAGATAGACTTTTTTTTGTTGTTGTTATTTGGCCAGCACACTTACAAAATGGGTTTTCCACAGGTATAAATACTTATATTTCTGTAAGTAGTTTTTAAACCCCATCACTTAAGGCTACACACCCAGTGTGTAGAGCTATGGCAGCAGCCTAGGAAGGTCAAATCAAACTTTGACCTGCCTCTTGGAAGACTAGGGGGAAGGGTGTATTTTCATTATAATAACCCATGCAACCAGCCCCGTATTGCCAAGCGCAGGAAAAGGGTCTGCTTCAAGGGAAAGCCGTGCCTTAACGTTAGCTAACAATACAAACCCGATACAGTGCAGAGGAAACAGAATACCCCAGCCAAGCAATTTCCATGTCAAACATCATCTGCGCGGCAGCTCGGTCTGTGAACGTGAGTGGTCGCCTGAATCCCTGCTCCGCGGCCGCCACCTCCTCATACCTTCACACCGCGCACCCTGGCCGGCGTCCTGCTCACCACCGGTGGCCGAGGCTCTTCCCCCTCGCCCAGTCTTGAGCTGGAAGTGATTCCTATTGGCCAAGGTGTCCATGTAAATAGGTGTGAAAGAAACCAGAACTGGCCAGGCTCTCCCCTCTCGCTCAGTCCCCTCCCTCTGCAGCCCCCGCTCCCCCTCCTCTTCCTCCTCCTCCCAAGGCGATTGTCATATGATAGCTAAGAAGTGGCACATTAATGAAGCGCCGCTACAGGGGTCTTTTCTGCTCCTGTCACCGCTTAAAACTATCAGATGGTTCGAGGGAGGACATGGAGGCAGCCACCTAGCTCAGCGGAGCCGCGGAGCCCACAGCAGCGCCCTCCGGAGCCCCGAGGCCGCCGCTGCTGCCGTCTGCACCGGGACTCCGCAGCCGAGCTCGGCCGCCCGGGGAGCGCACCGCCAGAAGCGCTGCGGACTGGCCGGCTCCGGGCGCTGCAGGGCTGAGCTGCGAAGCTCAGAGACGCGCGGAGCCCAACCGAGACCAGACACTGTGTCCCGGCCGAGCACAGGGAGGGACCGCAGAGCTGCAGTGCCATCCCGGATGCGGACGCACAACTTGGAGCAACTTTAAGGTGAGCCCTCCGGTTGCATCCCTGCCCCAGACCCCGCTCCAGGTCCGTGCTTCCCCCGCGCCGCTCATCCGCTTCCCCTTCCGCGCCCCCCGCCGCACCCCACTCTGCACTCAAAGTTGCCAGCTCCACAGCGCGGGCGCAGGCTGATCGGGCGCCGCAGCCCCTACCCACCACGTCTGGTCTGTACTCGTCCCGGCTGACCTCGCGGTGTCTGTCTGTGCATCCATGCCTCCCCCCTTCCCGTTATCTTCCCCCCCTGTTCAGATCCAAGCAGCCGCCGGCCCGCGCGGACCCAGAGCAAGAAGGGGGCAAACAAGAAGATGCCTCGGCCGGGCCGCAACACGTACAGCGACCAAAAGCCGCCCTACTCGTACATCTCGCTGACCGCCATGGCCATCCAGAGCTCGCCCGAGAAGATGTTGCCTTTGAGCGAGATCTACAAGTTCATCATGGACCGCTTCCCCTACTACCGGGAGAACACGCAGCGCTGGCAGAACAGTCTGCGCCACAACCTATCCTTCAACGACTGCTTCATCAAGATCCCACGGCGGCCAGACCAGCCGGGCAAGGGCAGCTTCTGGGCGCTGCACCCCAGCTGCGGGGACATGTTCGAGAACGGCAGCTTCCTGCGGCGCCGCAAGCGCTTCAAGGTGCTCAAGTCCGACCACCTGGCGCCCAGCAAGCCCGCCGACGCCGCGCAGTATCTGCAGCAGCAGGCCAAGCTGCGCCTCAGCGCGCTTGCGGCCTCCGGCACGCACCTGCCACAGATGCCCGCTGCCGCCTACAACCTGGGCGGCGTGGCGCAGCCCTCGGGTTTCAAGCACCCCTTCGCCATCGAGAATATCATCGCTCGAGAGTACAAGATGCCTGGGGGGCTGGCCTTCTCCGCCATGCAGCCCGTGCCCGCCGCCTACCCGCTCCCCAACCAGTTGACTACCATGAGCAGCTCGCTGGGCACTGGCTGGCCGCACGTGTACGGTTCCGCAGGCATGATCGATTCGGCCACCCCCATCTCCATGGCTAGTGGCGATTACAGCGCCTACGGCGTGCCATTGAAGCCGCTGTGCCACGCAGCAGGCCAGACGCTGCCCGCCATCCCGGTGCCCATCAAGCCCACCCCGGCCGCGGTGCCCGCGCTGCCCGCGCTGCCCGCGCCCATCCCCACCTTGCTCTCGAACTCGCCGCCCTCGCTCAGCCCCACGTCCTCGCAGACAGCCACCAGCCAAAGCAGCCCCGCCACTCCCAGTGAAACGCTCACCAGCCCGGCCTCCGCCTTGCACTCGGTGGCGGTGCATTGACCCGCAGCAGCCGGAGCCCCCTCTTGTTCCCCTCCCCGCCAGCTTATACGCCTTCCCCGCCTCCCAGCCCTGCCCCCTCCCCCCATCTAAGACCGCCACCCTAACTTGTCCATTTCACCTTCGGCCAACCCTCTCTCCCCCAGGAAAACTTTGTTTTGGACCCAGGAGACAAAACACAAACTTGCAGATGGCCTGGAGGCGCGTGGGAGCTGTCCTCGCCTCCACAAGAGGGGAAGGCAGGGAGCACCTGGGCCAAGCCTTCCGACTCCCCGGGCCCCCCGAAACCCCCTCCCATTTAAGAGGCAGGGGAAATCCTGCCTCCCGCCTTCGCGGAGAGGAGCGCGTCTTCCCTGGGCCGGGATCGGCGGGGCGCCGGACACCGCGCAGTCAGTTCCTAGACAAGAGAAACCGCCTCAGAGGTTTCCTCGAACAGATCTCCCCTGAGGGCTACAGCCGCACCGCGGAGGGCCGGATCTCGTTTACGTCTTGGAAATCTGCCGGGAAGAGGGACCACTAATCTTCCTTACCCGACTCGCCTCCGCCCATCCGGCAGGGGCTGGGCGGACCACAGCTTCCTGGAGTAGCGGCCCTGCCTCCCCAGCTTCTGCGGAGTTTTGTTTTTTGTTTTTTGTTTTGTTTTGTTTTGTTTTGTGTTTTGTTTCCTGCCAGAGGCTCCAGGCACGGGGAGTTAGGGGAGAGGCTACCAAACTGAGAAGGGGACGCTTGTCCTCAACACAAGCAAAACAAAACTAAAAGTAACCTTGTAGTATTGTTTACAAAGGCGCCCGGTAAAATGTAAACAGTGAACTTGAATCTGTATTGCTTGGCGGGCGAGCGGGCAAAGCCCACTTTACAAGTACCTGTTGTAATGTGAATGTTTACTCTCCATTTCTGGCCAGGTTTAGGGGTGGGAAGGGGGGGGATGGGAAAGTTAATTGGGATGTTAACTTTCCTGTTACTTAGAGACCTTTTAGCTATTTATTTTATTGTTGGAAGGGGGGAAAAAAGGAAAGAAAAGAAAGAAAAAAGAAAATGAAATAAGCCCAAACTAAGAAAGCATCAAGGGCAACCCTAGCAGAATTTAGATAGCTGACTGGTAACATGAAGCAGTGTCACCGGATAGGTCTCCCATGGACAAGTCTTTCTGTTTGCTACAAGAACTTTCCCAAGAAGCTAAAGGGCTACAAAGAGATGTAAATGCTTGTGAATAGGAATGATTATACACTGTGTAAAATGCACTTTTGTTTGCTATATTCCTTTAGAGTTCTTAGGTAATTTGCTGGAAAACGAACTGTTGTTCTGGTGTGACCTGCTTAAGTTAAAAAAAAAAAAGTTGTAGTTGTCATAGGGCTGTAAAATTTTTCCCTTTCATTTTTCTCCTTCCCTGTCCAGAATTAGCATGGCATCTTAAATATCGATGTTCTTGTTCCCAGCATGCCTGTTTTAAGACAAAGAATTTTAAAAAGGTGTCTACATTAAATTATGAATCTAGTCCAAATAATATTTTCTCATTAAAATACATAAATTCAAATTTTAGTTTTGTGTGTTTTTGAAGAGTTGCTGCAAACAATAACTTTACAAAAGATAGATGTAGTGCCTCTCTAAGCACACTTCTTGCAGTACATTGTCTGAGTAGTTTGACTTTTTCATATCTTATTTCTAAAATAGATGTCCTCTGATGCACTTGCATAAGAAAGGGAGGGAGAAATGATTCAAACCGACTCCTGAAGCAGAGGGAAAGAGGAAGCTATTCCTAGAATAGATCATCAGGTATACAGGTGTAGTGCTGGAAAACTGTCATTTAAAAAAATGCAATACTTTCTATGTAATTTTTTGTATCCTAAAATATACATTTTACAAAACATACTGCATGTAAGGCTTATGTAGAAATCAAGTAGAGTCTATATGGAGATAAAAACAGACTTGTTTCGTCAATACTCATATTCTGATGTATCTTAGAATATTCATTTCCCTGCTCCTTTAAATTATTTCAGCTGTTGAAACCTTCTTTTTCAGAAGTTACCTAGAAGTTCACCTTGAGTGTCAAGAAACCTGTTCAGTTTGAATAGAACAGATTTCTTTTCATTTCTTCATGTGGGAAAATAATTCTCGATGAAGTTAATTTAGATGTTTGACTCTAAGTATTTGCTTTTCCTCAATTTTTGCAGAGAATTAAAATTTGCCCTGAATTTATGGTTTAAGGCCAACTGAAACTTTACTGAAGGGGTCTCAGTATTTCCAGAGTGAGGTGTGTATTCAACTAATGAAGTTACAAGACAAAGAAAAACTTAAATGGTGATTAACACTTTACTGTGTAATACGATTAAACAAAGGCCTTTGTGCAATACAGAGAGAAACCCACACAAAAATCTTGATCACTATTCTCCATAAGGAGAATCCTTAGCACCTGCGACCCTTAACATATTTAGAGGGTTATCTGGGGAAAAAAATTAGGATTAATGCAAAGGGTAATTAATCCTGTTGTGACCATTTTTTAAAAGGAAAGATCCCACACACAGCCAAAAAAAAAAAAAAAAAAAAAAAAAAAACTGCAAAATAAGTGAATCATTGGGCTGATTAAAATGCATGAAGCTACTAAAGCTCGTCAGACAGGGGACAACTAAACTCATTCATCAAGCCCAATTCACAATTATATCAACAAGATCAGCAAAAGAAAGCCTGGAAAACTTCTCCACCCTGGGCTAGGAAACTCCTGAAACTTTGTTCTCAACAAGACATCATCTACATTAATAAATAAATAAATACATAAATAAATAAATAAATAAATATTCATCATTTCCTGCCGAATAAAATTAAGGCAATTTCCGGAATATTCTAATTTTGTCAAATTTACTAACACTGAATTCGAACTGGGAATGCAGGCAACAGAATGGGCTAACACGGGCCTTAAACATTTTATAAATTATCAACTTGGATAATCAGGTAAAATATTCATCCTATAATAGGCAGTAGAATGTCTATGTATAAATGTACACACACATACATTTAATAATTGAGGTAAATAAGATGCAGATCCAATTTCTGATTTTTAGCAAAGGAGTGACTTCAACTCAGGATCTGAAAATGTTCTTTTCAGCCGGTAAGTTCGTCATGGTGTATTGCAAAGAATGAAATAACTTGGGCATTGTGAGCCCTCCTTTCACAACTGCAGGCATCTCTTCTCAGACAAAGTTGAATGAGTAAAGTAAAAAATCCACTGATGATATTTTGACCTTGATCAGAAATCCAAAGGCAGCCCAAACCCACATCTCCACCCTCTCCATCCCCAGCTCTGAGTCTCACACCCAGTTTAGCTGAAGTGCCCCCACAAACAAGGAAGTTTATAACTATGATACCTTCAATGGCTCTCTTTGTCATGTTAAATCTTTTCACCTGGCTCAAGTCCAAAGTCAATACACACAGCTTTAAAATAAAACTGAAAGAGACACCACCATGCAGCGAGGTGTATATTGGGGAGTCTTATCCTGAAGATCGAGTTAACTTACATTTTCTATTTTGTAAATTTGGGCAGTATTCATTTTTTTTTTTTAATTCAGGTTTTTGATTTGGAAATTTGGCTGTCCCGTTACTTTTGGTTTTTAACATGATCCTGTACTCAACTATGGTTTTAAGTGGCTTTCCCTGTGATGGGGGGAAATGCTTACACAATGGATGAATTTTGTGCACTTTCTCGAGAGAGAGAAGCTGCAGAAGTTCTCACTGTTCCTGTTGCCTGAGTTGGAGATGCTGAGAAGCCTGAAGACTAGCGGGAGCAGGGCTAATAAATGATTGTCAGAACGGATGAAATATTATAGCAGTGCGTTCACTTCCTTTAAAATAGATGAGAACACTGCGCATCTTGGAAGCATAAATCTGACCAGGTGCTCGAGTGGGGTGAAGTTGGGAAGTGGGTGGGAGCAAGAAGCCAGGGGAGAGCTGCAAAGAGAAGGTTTTACATTAGTGTATGCAAGGTTAGGGTAGGGGACTTGGCTTAGACTTTCACAAATGGAAACTCTCTTTTTTTACAATGTTATCTATATAACAAATGAGAAGGATTAGGATCTGCTCTCAAATTCGTAATGTAAATGTCACTTTTTTTTTCTCCTAAAGCCACATATGCACAGAGACACCCAAACAAAAACAAAACAAAAACAACCCAACCCACCGGCTGTGAAGCCTCAAAGGGGATGCATTTGTTTCGTTTAAACTAACAACAAATTATCTAATTAATATGTTTCAATTACAGCATGAAAGGCACAGCCCCTGGACCGCCCGCCGTGGGGGCACAATAGCCCCAGAGCCCACTCTAGGAATTTACAATAACTTCACATCTGTTTCTTTATTTTCCACTTTTTGAGTCTAAAACTCCTCTCAAGATCACTTCAAACCACAGCCTGAGTTATGAAATATGTCCCAGTGTTAAAGGGGGACGAAACTTTGCCCACGGATGCTTCATTTGCAAGCAAAAAAGTGAAAGCCCATTGAAGAGCATTAAACAAATATATTAGAATTCTGTCACTTTATGCAATTGAGTAGATCAAATGAAGGGTCCCGGCCACTTCATTCACTCTCATTCACTCGAATAGAAAATGCAAAGAATAGCAACCCGAGACTGGGCCACCGATGTAGATTTAGCTCCTTTTTACTGGGAGACAAAAAGGCTGAATTTTCACAAACACATTGCTGACTCGGGGACTAGGAAACCGGCACTGGAACCCCTTTGGAATTTAAATTCATTTTATCTTCCTCTCTCTTTGCAGGGATCTGTTTGCACTACAGTGCAAGATGCAGCAGGCATCTTCTGGCGTCTGAAAAAATGGGGGAGGGGAAGAAAGTGATTGGGGGTGGCAATGTGGGCCTCAGGATTCCCAAGAAGCTTTTTGGTGGTCAACCATCTAGCAGGTCTAAGAGACTTTGATTTAAATAAATCTTTATTTACATCAATATAAGCATCATTATATCACACACATCTCCAAGTCTCTAACCTCCTTGCTTGGCAT